TCCGAAACCGTGCTTGGGCAAGAAGTAGGCCGCGATAACAATGAGGTTGCCTGCGCGCAGATGCCAGACAGTTGGCACCCAGCCTCGGCAGGGATCCTTCAGGCGCTCCTTGGTCATCAGGGCCCTCTGCCGATCGAAGGACGTGGTAGCAAGATGGGACCGCGCCAGAACCCACTCACCTCCACTCGCGCCCTCCGCAGACCGACCCGTGCCCACCGCAGCGCAAGCCGATAACTTCCAACCATCAACGTCCAGACTGGCACGATACTGAATGAGCTTCGCCTCGGTGACGTGAGTCTCCGCAAACGCCATCATGCCATACCTACTCTTATGCTCCACCACAAACTTGTGGATGCGGGGCCCCCATCCTGTGACATTCGCAAAGAAAGACGCACCAGCACGGTGAGGTGCCTCCGTCTGGGCCGTAGACAGCACGGGCTGGCAGAGGGGGGTCCGTTCCTCACGAGCCGACCGTGTAACTGCTGACGCCACGCAGCTCGCTCGTGTCTCCATCCCCGAAGAGCGGGCCAGATGGGGGCTGCCACCCCCCGTAGTAGACTGGGACGCCACCATCGGAGCTGACGATGCCACGCAGCTCGCTCGTGTCCCCATCCCCGTAGAGCGGGCCAGATGGGGATTGCAAGACACCGAAATAGATGACGCCAACTCCAATGTCTCTCGCGCCTCCATCCCCGAGGAGCGGGCCAGATGGAGGGTGCCTGTAATCGGAGCCGACGGAGCCAACTCCACTGGAGCTGAAGATGCCACGCAGCTCGGACGTGCCTCCATCCCCGAAGAGCGGGCCAGATGGAGGATGCCTGGTCTCGAGGTCGGAGGGGCCAACCTCGACGGAGCTGACGATGCCTCGCAACTCGCTCGTGTCCCCACCCCCGTAGAGCGGGCCAGATGGGGGCTGCCTGACAACGAAGTCGGAGACGAAAGCTCCGCTGTCGCTGAAGATGCCACGCGGCTCGCACGTGCCTCCACCCCCGAAGAACGGGCCAGATGGAAGATGCCTGGACTCGAGGTCGACGGAGTCGGCCTCCACGGAGCTGACGATGCCTCGTACCTCGCTCGTGCCCCCTTCCCCGAAGAGCGGGCCAGCTGGGGGCTGACTGAGACCGAGGTCGAAGATGCCAGCTCCGATGTCACTGATGCCACGCAGCTCCCTCCTGTCGACGAAGGGCGGGCCAGGTGACTGCCTGCATGCGCGCCTTGCATAGAGCTGGGCACAGAAGAATGATATTGCTCCAGATCCTCTCCAAAGCAATCGTCGTCGCTGAACTGCATGTCCTGGAGGGGGTCGATATCCACATCATCCAGTGTGGTGCTACCCCCTCTTCGGAGGAGGGGCCTTGGCGCGAGGTGGAGGCCGACCATCACCGCCGCCGCCAGGGCCAGGAGGGGCAGCTGCCACGCCGACATCCACAGGGGACCTCGCGACAGGGCTCGCCTTCGCAGCAGACTGCTCGAGTCGTTCACGTGCTGCCTTGACCTTGAAGGCACGGGCCTTGGCCTCAACGTCAGGCGGGGCTGCTGGGGCTGCTGCCGCGGCCGCCGCCTTGGCTCCCTCGGTGCCAGTTGCGGTGCCCACCTCGGCGCCGTCTTCAGCCTTCGTGGCTGGGCCCTGCGAACCCTCAGAGTCGACTGCCGACGCCGTCGCCTCTGGGCCAGACGCCACCCCCACCGCGCGCCGCCGCTTGAGGGGCGCCTGCGCTGCAGCCAGCTTGACCCCCTCGAGGTCCGTCTGGACGGCGTGGATGACGGCCGCGGCCTGGTCCTTGGCCTCATCCATGGCCGTGAGGGCCGTCTGCAGCTTGTCCTTGGCCTCTCCATCCTCGTACTCCTCAATCGAAATACTCTTGAGCTTATCTTCATACGCTGCCAAGAAATCGGGCACAGACTCGGGCTTGACCTCAGAAGCCGTCTGGGCACGAACATTGTTGTAGGCCAGGACCGCGGCCTCGTGGGCCTCCTCAGCGTCCACGAGCTCCCCCATGGCCTGATCGTAGTCCTGGCGCGCCTGCTTGAGGCGCGTCTCCAAGTTGGAAATCTCCGAGAGGAAGTTGTGGGCGTTGGTGGCCGCCTGCTTCGCCTTGGCCTCCGTCGACTGGAGCTGCTCCAAGGGTGTGCGCGACCTCGGCAACGCGGGCGTCTCGACTGCCTGCTTGATGGCGAGAACTGAAGCCGTAACCGATGCATCTTGCTGCACAAGGGCCTCAAGCTGGTTGATGAGCTTCGCCTTACCCCAGGGGCTGAAGATCGCAGGAGATGAAGCGGCAGGCACTGCTGGCCCAGGCCCCTTCGGCAATCCTCCCTTGGGCTTGTCTTTCTTCTTCTTCGGAGAGTAGAGCTGCTGCGCCTGTCCACACACCGAGCAAGCTCCGCCATTCTTGATGATACGCCAGTTCCAATCCCACTGCTTGCCAGCGCGGCAGGACGGGGTCGGGCACATGGTGTAGCTCGTGCGAGGTTGCTGCGGCGCCATGGCAGGGCGCTGATGTGAAAGAGAAGGGGCTTGTACCGTCGCGCTGCTAGCGACGGGATCGGAATCCCCTGAAATCACTGTCGGGCTGAGCAGCCCTGGCACTGGCCGCGGACTAGCGGTATCCACGTGTTCCCCTGTGGAACAAACCATCTTGAGCCAAAATGGCTACGGAGGAGGAGGAGGAGGAGGAGCAGAAGGAGGAGGAGGAGGAGGAGGAGGAGGAGGAGGAGGAGGAGGAGCAGGAGGACGGGAGGAGGACGGGAGGAGGAGGGGGAGGAGGAGGAGCGAGGAGGAAAAGACGTCGCATTCGATTATCAAAACTTTCCTGGCGTGGCATTGTCCGCATCAGACACGTACATGCTCCTTCTACCTGTCCTACGCACGCAAGCACTGTGGTGTACACCAGCGCTGCGTTGCACGCGGATGTTCTGGTGTAGACAGGCGCTGTGGCATGCACAAGCGTTGCGGTGCACACAAGCACTGTGGTGTCGCTGTGTTGCACATGGTTGCTGCGGTGTATATACACCGGCACTGTCGTGCTCCCAAGTATTGTGGTATACACAAGCGGTGCGTTGCACACGGCTGTTGCCGTGTAGGTACGCAGGCGTTGTGGTGCACACGCGCGGCGTGGTGCACGCGAGCGTTGTGGTGTACACAAGCGCAAATGCAGTGGGCAGATCGCCACCTGCATGCTGCTCTCGTCGTCGTCATCGTCGTCGTCGCTCATCGCGACGTGCGCGCGCGGGCGCGGCTGTGGCGGAGCCACACGGCGGGGGGGGGGCGTCACGTCATGCCCCCCGCCCCCTCCCCCCCCCCATGACGCCCGTCATCGCCGAACATAAAGAAACGCGCTCTAAACTCCTATAGTGTAGAAGGGCCGTAAGACCGTCGCACGCATCTGCATTTGTGCAACCACCGTCGGCTCCCCCCGTCCCTTGCGTTTCCGCCTGGGTAAGGGTACGGGTATCTTTCGCGCTCGAGAATTGGAACAACATAAGCAAATACAAAATCATATTTGTTGGGTAATCGGATGTCCAATAGAATTACCCTTCAATTGTAATTCGATGTTACGCCGAAGCTATTATATACTGTGTTTGTTGTTTTCCCAGACCGCCTAGCAATTCCAACGCAACGACACACACAACATTGTGATCGCCATTGTAATTTAGTCGCTAACGAACACGGCGCATATCGTTTATTATTATCAAACAATAAATATTATGTTTCAATGCCGACTAGATTTTTTTCGATCCCCGGATACCGCTGTCGGTGAACACAAGAATTTTCACGTCGGGAAAGATTAAATTCAAAAAAGCTTGAAAACATCTTGGCATTGGGCGCCCCATCTTTGTATCGGCATTGGGCGGGTCGTGGCTGGAATAAGCAGAATCGGCCGATTGGCATCAAAACTTGAAAGCATATCAGAAATACTTTTCGTCGCAATCGTCAAGCCTTAATTTACCGTTCTGTCTGAGACCCTTTCCCGCTCAAATATCGATCGGTATTGTTTTTTATTATATGGAGCAGTCTCCGAAATTCTAGACTAGTGGCTGGTGCCGCATCATTTGGTATTGCGTTCGGTCAGTAGCCGCATGGATGGGATAGTTGGGCAGACGTGCAACACCGAGCCAAGAAATCAACGACTCATTTGCAGCGTGCGACGGCGAAGGCACAGTGGAGGCCAACCACCCCAGACAGTCCCTGGCAATCCAATCTAGTTCGAGATAGCTTACAACATGCCTCAAAACGGCCTCGCGACCGCCACAAAACGGCCCTCAAGAAACCAAATTCACTCGAATACGTTCTGCTTGTGACGAGATTTTGAAACGCTTGTGTGTCGTTCACCGGTCACCGACTGGAGGGAGCTTCTTGGTGCCGCCCGCGCCCTTCTTGATACGTGAAATCGTTGAGCAACTTCGGGTTTCTGACGGGTTCGTGCTTCGCAATGTAATCCTTGGGATACGCTTGGATCAAGATGGTTCAAACCTGACCTAAGATACCTCACTTTTGTCTCCAATGTTGTGCAACTTTGCTTCCAAAATGCCCCCAAGAGTCCCCAAGACGGCTGCAAGTGGCTTCTGAGCGGCCCATGGAACTTTCCAAGCTTTGGTCTGACGGCTGCCCCCTGCCCCTCTTTGTTGCACTGCTTGCTGCTACACGTTCTTGATCAACGCAACTCACCCGGATCTCATTTCTGGGTGGGCTGGGTGGGAACACGCGAAGCTGCAGCGTCGAGGGCAGAACTCTGCAGCAATGCATCCCTCAAACTAAGCTCTCCCGCCCCTCGTATCTGATATTGCATCTTCGGGGGACCTTCTCTGTCATGTCGGGCCGAACTCGAGTCGAATCCACGTCGAACCCGCGTGCAAACCCGCATCGGATAAGTGAGAGAACGGCCACTTACACAACCGAAAGGATCCCCAAAGATGCAACGTGACACGTCCCCCCCCGCTCCCTCTGATTCCTCCCCCCTGACAGACCAAATATCTCACAAGGGCCACCGAGAGAATATCTGCCTGAATCCGTTTGTCATCGCGAGCTCACGCCTAATCATCTGTGAGCCGATGCGGGAAGTCGATGCGCGCTGCACAGGGGAGCCTACGTGTGCTAAGGCTAGCTCTCCATGCGCGCGCTCCCCCAACATCTCGTTTGGGTGGCCGCGCTTCGAACGAGCTCTGAGCTCAAGCTCTGGAGCTCCGCAAACTTACGAACGACGCTTCGCGCCCATACTCTACAAGCGCGAGCTGGCACTGACCCTGCGCTCGTTCCTCGGGACCGCAACGCAAGATGTCCGCGGCGAGCAGGGGGCGTGGCAGAACGGCATTGAGGCGTGGCCAGCCTTCCAGCCGACGGGGGGGGGCCAAGAGCAAGCGGACACCCCCTATCGGGGAGCCACTAGCTGGGTCAACGCAGACCCTGGTCAGCCAGGGCCACGTCGCGAACCCGAGGCCTCCACGAAGCAGCTCCCAAGCCCGGGAACAGCGGAAGGCGGGGGAGCGGGGTCGGCTCCAGGTGGCTTCCACACCGGGGCCGGCCAAAGAATCTCGGAGGGGATTACCTGACCTCCGCTACGTGAGCCCCAGCTCCAGGTGCCGAACACGGCTGGCCGGAATGGAAAAAAGCCTCGGGATGAAAAAGGGGGTGTCGAGAGGAGGGGGTGTGGGGAATCAGCCGTCGGGAGGTCGGGGCGATCGAAACGGGTAATTATGGAAAGAGTGAGGACGAAGACCGGCGGCAGTTCGCGTCCATTCTGAGCAGGGCTCGCTGTCGGTGCCGCCGCGGACGGTGCTCATTTGTGACAAGAAAGTCGGCCGGCCAATAGCGGCCGCTCTCGGTTTTGGGCAATATGCGCTGTTGGCCATCGTGCCCCTTTTGTCCGTACCCATCGGTTGAAGGAAATGCATGGAATAGGACGGCGTTGAAGTAGATTGGGCTTCCGCGAGCCCCTAAAGAGGCGGGGAAAGTGGAAGCCACTCGATGATTGAAGTAGGAAGTCGGCTATACATTTGAATCTGGAAGTCCTAAGAAAACACTTGCTTTCAACGACCGATGGGTAGCCATTTCGGACTCCAGAAGCTCCGTTGAGAGATCCCCGCGACACATCCGAGATGCCGATCAGGCGCACAAGGGGGAGCAGGGGACGCGGAGGCGAGCGACGGGGAGGCCCACGGGAGAGCAGGGGAGGAGGGGGGCACCGAAGGAGGGCGAGGAAGACCCCAGGAGGGCGAGGAAGACCACAGAGGACGGCGGCGTGCGGCCCTCCTCGTGCGCGCCCCATCCTCCTCCTCCTCCGGCCCTCCATGTCCACCTCCTCCTCCTCCTCCTCCTCCTCCTCCTCCTCCTCCTCCTCCTCCCCCGTCTCGTTCTCCTCCTCCTCCTCCTCCTCCTCCTCCTCCTCCTCCCCGAGTCGGCGGGCTCTGAGCCCAGACCTCCAACGTCTTGAGCAAAGCAAGGCGCAGGCTTCTCTCGCAGTCTTCTGCCCCTGGGGCCTGGGGGTCCCCTCGTCGGGCCCCAGGGCCGACATCGGGGATCTACTGACCCGGGTCAGTGCAGACCCGGGGCAGTCAGGCCTTGTAAGATCCTGCAGGGTCCTGCAGGATCCTGCGCCCAAGCCCGGGTCGGTGCACCCCTGGCCCTGCAGGATCCTGCAAGATACGGCCCTCTGGCTAACCCCCGCTTGCATCGACCCCCGTCTCTCGAGCTCCGACGACAAGCAACGGCTCTGCACGAAGAGCCGGCCCCGCGCCCCAGGGAGAGGGCCGGGCCTTCTCTCCATCGCTCGGGCGTCCCTTACCCGTGCATGTTTCTTTCGATTTCGCGCGTGCTTTTCTTCTTTGCCAGACGATCTAAGATGCTCCTCGCTGGCCCTCGCTCGGCGGCGAGCGAGGGGGGGAACTGAGAAGGAGAAGGCCTTCTCCGAAGGCGGCGGGGCTTCTCCGGAGCCCTCGCGCCTTCCGAGAGGCTCTTTGCGTCTTCGGGAAGGCCCAGAAAGCTCCTCAGAAGGCTGGGGGACTTTTGTGAGCCTTTGGGGCAGGCTTGCCCCTTCTCGCTTCCCCCCAGTCGCTCGTCGCCGAGATGCCAAGGCCTTCAGGGGGTCCATCGAGACACGCCAGGGCATCGGATGTCTGGGGAGGCGTCTTGGCCTCCGGGCGCGCCGGCGAGGGGGGCCAGGGGGCGGGGGGGGGTGGGTGCGCCACGGCCCGAGGCACGTGCGCGGATTCCAGGGGGGGGGGGGCAGAGAGCATGTTGACGCAAGAGGAAGAGGACCAGAGCACGAACACGCGTGATACGAAGAAGAGCACTCGTGACACAACTGAGCCTAGAGGTAAACTCGAATTCGCACGGGTACGACTGCGCATGCTAACAATCATAAAAGTTACACCTGTCATGCTAGTGAGTAACAAGGCCACCCATAATCACACACACATCCACAGCAACACTACGTACATGACTAGGATTAAATAAACTTAGGAGTGCTACGACTCACATGGATCACAATAGCAATAAAGATAATACTCAGAATAAGAAATCATTCCAATAATAATAATAATCATGATAAGACTACTCATAATGATAATGAAGAGAAGAAGGAAAAGAAGAAGAGGGGGCCATGAGATCAGGGAACTTCAGTGACACTCACGATGATGTTCGCACACCCCGAGTCCGCACCCCCCTCCTCGACGCCTGGTGGCTGTCGGGCCGTAGCTCGGGCCTCGACCTTGCACCGGCCGCTCGGGACGACCCGGGCACCCCGAAGGCCCTCGACGAGGCACCGCTGCTGGAGAGCACTCCGAGGCAAGAAGGCCTTCAAGAGCAATCGATCGCTTCCTCCAGTAACCGACGAATGCGTCTCCACCCCCCTCTTGGCCGCGCCAAGCTCTGGGGGCTGTCCGCTTGTCCCTTGGCCCCCTTAGCTGAGGGGAAACGGTAGAGGGGGAACAACGCTCGGGGGAAGCATCGACCCGGAATCGGCGATACGTCGCCGATAGATCGGCGATAGGCCCCAGACGGCGAATCCGCAAGCTCCTGGGCGGGTGTGGAGATGTCGGGCCCCTATCGGCGGTCAATGGGTGATTGGGGCGCCATGCGTCCCCCTCTGGGTCTATCCACCAATAACGTTGCCCCTGAGCTCCATAGGTCTCCCAGATGGGGTCGGAGTAGATCGGGTCGGAGGTTCGCGCCGCATCGCCGATGCACCGCCGATGCATCAGCCATGTACTGGCGACGTTGGCGATGCTGGCGATGTCCGCGTTGAGAAAGTCGGGCTCCACATCGAGCCGCATCGCCGATGCATCGGCGATGTGTCGCGATCCTCCGACCCCGTCTACTCCCATGAGATCTGACGTCGTGGAAACATCGAAGCCACAGTGAAAAATCAAGGCCGGAGCCCCAGGCCCCTTTTCGAGCCGGATCGATCTGCGAAGGACCCAGGGCCCGCAGCCCGGCGACAACGCCTGGGGCTCAGAACATTGAGACGCCACGATTCGAGGAACAGAAAAACGTCATACAACTATAAACTTTTGACGGTCCGGGCGGATTCCTTAGATCTGAGCTGGAACCCCCTCCCCTGGCGCTGATCTAATCAATCCGCGCGGAGCTCCGAAACTTCATGTTTATACAGTTTTCTCTTCGACCGATCTCAGCAGGGTCGGACCCCATTGCAGCGACGAAAAGAGACGGGTCTTACGCGAGACGATGTAGCGACCTTGCGCGGTAGCCTGCGCGGGCCGCCGGCGCGGCACGCCACATTGGAGACGAGGGCGCTTACGCGCGACCTTACACGCGGCCAGCTCACAAGCCGATGTCGGCGCGATGCCGAGCCATCTGGGAGGCCTGGAGCGCGGGCTCCGACCGAGGGCCGATGGCCCACCGCGCGCGCCGGAGCCGCCCCGTGCACGCGAGGAGTGGCCCTGGGGAGGGTGGGCCTGGCCAGGGAGCACTGGCTATGTATAGATTTTGTCGCCCTGGCGCAAGTCGGCGGCGAGCCTGGGGGGGGGAAGCGGGAAGGGGCGGGCCTTCTCAGAGGGCTCCGACGTCCCAGGGCCTCGTGAAAATTTTCTAAGCCTTCCCCGAAGGGCATAGAAAACTTCTCGGAAGGCGCGAGGTCCCGGCCGCCTTCGGAGAATGCCTTCTCCTTCTCATTTCCCCCCCTCGCTCGCCGCCGAACCTTGGACGCCCGAATTATCTGGGCTGACTGCTGTCCGGGGTAATTCGGTTTGGGCCCCCGAGGCGCAAATCTGTAGTCCCCCCTGACTGCCCCCAGTCCTGATGATTCGGGAGGGTCGGACGCCCGAGTTATCTGGGATAACTGCGGTCTGGGGTAACTCCAGTTTGGGCCCCCGAGGCGCGAATCTGTAGCTATCCCTGACGCCCCCCAGCCTGGATGATTCGGGGCTCTGAGAACCTGTGGGGGCCCGCACCAAGGTACGGTAGGTTCGTGCGGCGTCGGCGCGCGCAAAGGTCTACGACACCGCGTCGATCGTTCAACTCTGAACCAATCGCGGCCCCGATCGGTCAAGGCTGCATTCCGTCGGGTCCAGTGGCGCCCTCATGTCCCTCGGTACTTCCGCGTCTCAGAATTCGACTTTGAGCGCCCTCACCGGCGTCGCCAGCGCGCCGACGCCGCGTGAACCTACCTTCCCCCCCCCAGCCATCGACTCCCCTGGATCGGTGGGAGGCGGGGCAGGGTGTGGATTTCGCCACGTGTTCGACGAACCCCGCACCAAGAGGCCTCTCAAATGGGGTCCGAATAGATGGGGTCGGAGGAGCGCGCTGCATCGTCGATGCATCGACGATGCGTCGGCGATGCAGCGGCGACGTCGGCGATGCATCGGCGACTTTGGCGTAGAGTAAATCGACCTCCGCTTCAAGCCGCATCGGCGATGCATCGGCGATACGGCGCGATCCACCGACCCCATCTACTCGGACCCGATCTGAGAGGCCTAGAGCACCCTACCCCGGCCGCCCATCGAACTGCCCACGTCGGAGATTGTTTTTTTTTTTTTTTTTTACCCTGGCAAATTTACTTGCACGGACTGGGGGAGGCCTGAACCTGAAGCAAGCCGCAAACGACTTGCACGTGCGAAGAACACGCAAGTCGAAAGGTGCTTGCACGCTAGTAATCATTTGAAGAGGGGCGAAGGGGGGGAGCGCCATGCAAGTTCACTCGGCTGAGTCTATAACAGAAGGCTCTCTCGTTCATCGGCGAGGGAAAGACTCGGATGCCGCCGCCGACAGAGGCCACTCCGGCGAAGTGCCATGCCACTCCCCACGCGCAGCCGCCAAAAGGCGAGGCCTCTACATCACCGCGCACCCGGCCCCGCGCGGCCCACACACCGCCGCCGCCCGGCTGCCCAGCGCGCCGCTCATGGTCTGCATCAGCGTCGGGCCGCCTGGCGACGGGTCGCCTCACGGCCGCCCCAGCACCACCAGGGTGCGCTCCCAAACCTCCGGCGATTTCTGATCTTTTCGGCCGGCGTCTCTTGCCACACTTCGGCTCTCGGAGGCCGCCCTTGGGAGCCAGGACCTCTCAAAACGGGCCTGCGCCGCAAAACCAACCCCAGAGAAGCGCTCGGGACCTCTGGGACCGCGGGTTGGCAAAATCATGTCGGAGGGCGTCTCGCTTCCCAGACCTCAGCCGTGATATTGGGCATTGCAATTTTTCCCACCGGGCGCTTTCGCCTGGTGTCGGGCTCACAGATCGATCCGCCTAGGAAAAAAGCCGCAGAATCATTGGGTCCGGGGCTGCGATCTTGATTGCTCACATTGTCAGATGTCGTCATCGCTCGGACGTCCATTCCCTGTGCATTTTTCGGTCTCTTGCGTGTATTTTTCGCAAGGTGAGCAAGAATGCTTCTCGATGGTCCTTGCCGGGAAAAACATGCACACGCCCGAGCGATGCCAAGGCACTGTTTCGACGCGTCGGATCTCAGGCGAGACGGGAATCCTGTGCGCCGCTGCTGGCCTCTGGGGGCCCTCGCTGGCCACTGGGGGACGGCCCCAAGATCGACCCCGAGGACCCACCGGCCCGGGAGAACGGAAGCCGGAACTCCGCCGGCAATTTCTGTCCCGTCCGCGACCCCAGAGCGCTCCCGACCCCCCCAGGGGGTTACGTTGCGCCAGTCCCTCGTGCCACGGAGCCCGAAAACTACCTCAAGAGGCCGAAACGCCGTACACAGAACGCTGTGCTTGAACAAACCTGGGAGAAGAACAGGAAACGCCAGAAACATTAGCTTTTGGCGCTCCGCGCGGTTTTCTTGCATCTGTGCTGGACCCTCCTCCCCGCGCCGGGGGTGGCGCCAGAGGCGCCGCCAGGGGGGCCCAGGCGCCGATCCAAGAAATCCGCGCAGAGCGCCAAACGTTTAAGTTTATGCTGTTGTTGTCTTCTTCGAAAATCATGCATATCGTCGAAGGGCAGCCCCGCAGCACGCTTCGAGAACGATGTGCCCGCGGCGCATCCTCGCCCTCTGCTGCCACCACGAAGAAAAGCATCGAAACCATGAGAACATCGAAAACCACCAACACGCGTCCACCGCTTGATCGCGGCCAATGCCATCCACGGCGACAATACCAAAAAAAACCGACCGAACCGACAAAGAAGCCAAAACCGACCGATACAGAAATGCCGCAAGCAGCCCCACATGCTGCAACTATGTGGTGGCAGCGACACATGAACCGATTCAACCGAACCGTCCGAGCGCAACACTGCGACGCAGCGGAACCGACCGAACCGTTGACGTCTCTGGCGATGCCCGTCTGGCTTTCGGCCGTTCGGAACGATTCGGGCACCCCTAGAACGCTCTGTGCGAGGCGCAGCTTCTGGGGCAGCTCGAGGCAGGAGAACCTCTAGGACCCTCCTCGCTCTCCGACCCCCATCTCCCCCCCCGCACATCCCATGTTGTTTTTTTGTTTATGCGCAATCCCAAGAAGTCCCGACTCATTCCTCAGGGCCGGTTTTCCATCCCGAGCCGTTTTCTCACAGCCCCGAGGCCCAGCGAGGGCCCCCGGAGGCCGAGATCGGCGAAACACTTTCGGCCTGGTTCTTTCACGACGTTGGATGTCTGCGTCCTCGTCCCACTCCTCTTGGCACGCCCAAAGCGGGTACGGGAAACACTGGCACGATGCCCAACAGCAAAAGTTGCTCACGACCGACGGCGGCCGCTGGTGGGCGGGCGACTTGCTGCCGCCAATCGGGCAGACTCCGCGGCTACACCGACAGTGAACCCTGCTCAAAACTGGCAAGACGTGCTGGAGATTGTTGTTTGAATTGTTGCTCGTCGCGGTCGTTACCCGGGGGCGCGGGGATTGGGGCCCCAGGCAACTGTGACGCTTGGGCGGGGTGGGGCACGTCGTGGCGGGGGTGTGCTGCGATCGCCAAAAGATGCGCGCGATCGAGCTCTGAACTCTCACCGAGCAGAGCAATACTTATTGCTTGCTCGACCCCTCCCCTCGTCGCTTCGACGCCCGACGGATGATTTGAGCTCTCGGCCCGAACTCAAACTCTGAACTCTTCCCATGGGGGAAACGGGTCCTGAGGGAAGGGGGTCTTGGACCCCGGGGCCTTTCGCCAGGACGAGATCTTCGTCCTGAACCGTTTTCTGACACTCCCAGGGCCCGTGGAGGGCGGCAACCAAGAACGGTGAAAAACCTAAGGAGCCGTTTCCCTCAAGACTCGCTTCCCCCACGTCGACGATCGCCCCCCCTTCAGGGATCCACTGACCCGGGTCACTGCAAACTGGGGTCAGTCGGGCTTTGCAGGATCCTGCGACACCCTGCAGGATCCTGCGCCCTAGCCTGGGTCAGTGCGCCTCCACAGGACCCTGCAAGATCCAGCGCCCAGGCTGATCCCCGTTTGCGTTGACCCCCCAGACATCCAGCTGCTCAATTTTTTCTTCGATGCGTGGGCCCCGGAGGTCCTTACCGCTTCTCTAGGGCCAGTTTTTCGTCCCGAATCGTCTTTTGACGCCCCCGCGGCCTTGCGAGGGCCCCCGGAGGCCGAAAACGGCCAAAAACCGCTTGCTCATTTTTTTTTTGCAGCGTCGGATCTCAGGGTCAAGGCTCCCGACCCTCCCAGCTCGAGGAACGCCGGCCCAGCCTCGGGCGCTGCCGCTGTGCGCTCTCGCCGAGGAGCTCCCCGCCCCGCCGCTGCGCGTGCTCGCCGCGGGGCTGCGACCTGCGGATGGGCCCGCGCGCGCGCGAAAGGCGGCGGCGGGCTGTTCGCCGCGGCCTGCCGAGGAGAGGCCTTGGGAGTTTTTTGACCTCGATAGAGCAAACGGCTGGCACCTCGATAGGGCATTGGTGAACGTTTTCTTCTTCGGCGTTTCGACGTTGGGCGGAAGGGGGGGGGAGGCGGGACGTCTGGCTCTGGACCTCTGCTTAATGCGACTGCTTGCAGCAGCGCGTCCTATGGGGGTGACTCCACCTGCTCGAAACAGGCGCCAGAAACAGCCAAGATCTACTCCATGGGGGGGGAGAATGGGGGGGAGATGACCCACGCCGATCGGCAAAACAATGAATAAGAAACGATCACTAGAGCAAAATAGCCGGCACAAGCTAGCAGCTAGAGCAAACGACCGGCACCTCCTTAGAGCGTTGTCGACCTTGATACTCTGCAGCATGTTTCGCAGCAGATAGAGGAACAACAAAAACGGCATACACATAAACTTTGGACGGCCCTTGGATCTGCGCTGGGGCCCCCCCGGCGGCGCCTCCAGCGCCGCTCCTGGCGCGCTCCGCGCGCCAGGGAGGGGGTCCACGCCAGATCCAAGAAATCCACGCGAGCCGTCAGAAACTGTTTCATGCCGTTTTTCTCATTCAAACATTATTAATTCTTTGGGCAATTCGTATGCTGCAGCTGTACAGTAGGTGCTACAGTGAATAACTATTCTCAGCGGGCATCCTGCAGTCGCGACGTGGCTAGCGCGCGGCGGCCTGAGAAGGACCTAGGACAGAAGAGCATCCTTCAAAAACATGAGACCCCCGCCTGTTAAACTGAGGATCTGAGGAAAACTCGAGGGTCCCCCCTTCCAGGCTGCATAAGAGCATCCAACAAGCACAAATAATGGGTACGCTCCCCGAACCGATCTCGATCGTATACCTTGGTCCGACCGTAGAGCAAACGGCGGGCACCTCGATAGAGCGTTATAGAGCGAACAGCTGTTGGGGGCTAGAAAAGGCAACGAGGTGCAGCTCGGATGAAGACCACTTCCAACTGCCCAACTCATGCGAAGCGGCCTCCTTTCTGCAGGAGCTGTCCGGATCGGAGGGGGAGAGGGCAATGAAGAAGGAAGGAAAAGAACAACGAAGAAGGAAAAGAAATGAAACTGCGTCCGCACAAACACAATCTTGCGGAGCTCTGCCCGGATGTCTCGGGTCGGCGCTGACCCCCGCCCTTGCGCGCGGAGCGCGCTAGGGGCGGCGCCGGAGGCGCCGCCATCGAGGCCCAGTGCCGATCCAAGAAATTCGCGCGAAGCTAAAACAAATGATCATGCATATCTTGTTCGTCGACTCGAGGGTAAAGATCAATCAACATCTAATCGAGAAATCGCATCGAATCGGAACGTGCGCCGTGTCGGGCCGAGTCGCCACGGAGTCGGAGAATCGAGGCGGATCGGCTGCGCCAGGGTGCGCTAACAGCGCCGTGCAGATATCGTGCCACATCGGATCGTCGGAGCGTGGGAATCGACTCGGACCTAGCGGGCCGGAATTGATGTCGAATCGGATCGATCGGATCGAAATTGACATCGAGTCGGATCGAAACCCAAATGATATCGGATCGACATTGATGCTGGATCGAAACTGATATCGAGCGGGCCGAAATTGATATCGAATCGGATCGATCGGATCCAACAGGGCCCTGAGGGTCGGAAACTTTCGCGCGTCTCCGTCGGCTCCCCAGAGAGGAGGCTCTCCAGGGGGAGGGGAGGAGCGATGAGGGAGCGAGGGGGCAGCGAGGGAGGGTTAGGGGGGGGTGAGGGGAAGCAGTGAGGGAGCGAAGAGGTTCTCCACCTCGAAGGTGCCTCGGGTTTTCGACAGAGCGCACTGCGCGAGCGCTCGTGGCATGATGGCGGTCTCGCGAATTGGGGGAGGCCAGTGCCGCCGACGACGAGGAAACTCGATGATTTCGGAAGTTTCGTCAATTTCCAATGGCCTCCCCACCTCGGAGTGGTTTCCGGCAGCTGCGTCTCGCCGAGGGCGAGCCGGGGATGCCCGGCGCGTCCCGAACGGCCGCCGGAGGCCCGATCGTTGGCTGGAGGACCACCCGGAGGCCTGGAGCTCCAGCGTCTTACACTTAAGCGTATTTGTCTTCCCCGGGTTCGACCTCTGGGGGCCCTCGCTGGGCACAGCGGCCGTGAGAGAAGGACTCGGGATGAGAAACCCGCCCGGGGGAACGGGTCGGGACTTCCTGGGGCCCCGTATCGACAAAAACCAGGCATCGGTTCGCTGAGGACGGATGGGGAGGGGAAGGGCAGTGCCTTGGTGTGGGCGAGGATGGATGGGGGAGGAGGGAGGGGAGGAGAGAGGAGGGGATTGAGGAGGTAGGGAGGGAGAGAGGTAACTTAGGGCCAACTTCATGAAATGAAATCTACTCCAATGCACGGTCCGAGAGCTGGCGGTCGTACAATTCCCAAATGTTTGAGCCACTCTCACTGTTCAAGTCTGGACCCACCACCTTATGCCGTCGCGCCCTGTCTACCGCGAACTGCACATGGTCGTTATTACCAATAACGTCGCAAGAGAAAGCAACGTCGCAACTTCTGCCGCAGAAAACCGTGTAGTTCCCCAGAGACCTACACACACATGCAGACGTGTAACATTGCATGGCGAACGCTGACATGCAGTAACATCGGCTCCCCCTTGGGTTGGGGGGGGGCATCTTATTGCAAATACGTTTGAGCAACTGAATGTCCTACTTCTCACTCGTGAAATTCTGCAGTTGCAGACATCGCAATCAGATCAGGTACCCAACAATGATGCAACGTTTTCTGCTGAGCTCGTGCATCAGGTCTCAGAACCGTATCACTGACCCACTGATTCGACTCAAATATCTTAGGGGCCGAAAGGGAACCACGTCCTCAGGATCTCTGGGTACCCTGGGACACATACCCATCGGTCGGAAGAAGTGGGTATAAACATGAAGTAGGAAAGCGTCGAACCATGTATTGGGTTTCCGCCCACCCCCTGAAGAAGAGAAAAGATGAGAAACCGCTCGACTCTTCAAATAGGAAAGCGCCTCGAATATATCGGGATCTGGAAATCCAGAAATACCTACTTTCAACAACTGGTGGGTACGGATATGATGGACCCGCGCTCTTAAGGCGAACGCCCCTTTGAAGAACTGATGGGCCCGCGATCCTGAGGGCCACGACCTGTGGGAGAGAAGCTTCGCACCTCCGATGCCGCGGTCACTCGTCCAAATCGAGGATCCGCGCTCTCAAAGCTACGGATACGTGCAACACACGATTGCGACCGTCCTCCAGAGGACACGACCCCTTGTAGAAAACGGGCGGGCGCGCCTGAAGCCACGATCCCCAACCAACACAAAATCCGCGCTCCCAAGCAAAGCCACTATCCCTCGCAAACGAGGCTACCAAAGTCCACGCTCCCGAAGCCACGCCCCATCGTGAAAACAACCGACGGGCCCGCGCTTCACGCGCTCCCGAAGTCGTGATATCCCTCGTGAAGCAAAAGTGGCTCCGCGCTCCCGAGGCCACGATACCTTTCACAATACAGCAGGGGCCCGACCATAAGAAACCTTCCACAAGAAACCCAACCCGAGACCCCAGGACGTCCATTGATTTTTGGTGTGGAAACGTCACGCTTTCCATCGCAAGACCATCGAACCACAAGAAACCCATGGCACCCTGGAGGCAAGCAGGGTGCTTCTTGGCATGAGTCTCCACTGCCCGCGCTCCCAAAACGAGGCTCCTTCGTTCCCGACGCCAGCATCCTTCGTGAAAGCGCTCGAGCCGCGCTCCCAAGAAGGCAAACCGGAGTCCCCGAGGCCACGGTCCATGTCAGACAAAACCATGGATCCACGCTCCCGAGACCGCACCCGCACTGTACACATTATGGCCCCGTGCGCCCGAAGCAGTGACCCTCTTCGAAAAACATTGATCCGCGGATCAAAGGCCAGGCCCGGCGAAACGATCAACTGATCCAGACTCATGCGGCCACGACCACATGCAGAAAGAGGATTGATCTGCGTCCGGGGAGGCGATGATCAGTGAACATCACATCGGAAAAGCGGGTCGGATCGGAACGGGCGTCGAATCGAGACTGAGTCGGGATGGAATCGAATCGGCCGCGCCAAGATGCACAACAACGTCGTGCAAACATCGGGCCGCATCGGATCGTCGGAATATCGGTATCGACTCGGATCGTGCTGGCCGAGATCAGCATCGAATCGGATCGATCGGGCCGAAATGAACACTGAACTACGGGGGTTCGCGCTCTCAAAGCGAAGACCGCCAGTCAGAACGACGGGCCCGCACTCTCAAGAGGAGAACTAACAAACGGCACAAACATAAACTTTCGGGGGCCCGGGGCGCAGAAGAGGCCCCCAAGAAGCCCCAAGAGGCTCCCAAGAGACCCCCAAGAGGCCCTCTAGTGGCCCCAAGAGGCCCAAGAGGCCCCCAAGAAGCCCCAAGAGGCGCCCAAGAGGCCCCCAGAAGTCCCAGCCAACCACGAGATCCCAACCAGCATCCATGAGGCCTCTGACCCACCACCCACGCACGGTGGCGGGATAGGCCGACGGCCACTGGATCCGCCGCCCCCTGCTTGCAGGGGTGCACGGCGTGCTGGATGATTCAGGTTTTGGTTTTGGTTCTTTTTCTAAAAGAACTCCCCAGTGGGCTTCGGCCCGTCCCGCCGGCCACCCGCGAATTTCCCAAAATCCGTCTGTCAATGCCCAAAAACGGCCGTTTCGCTCGGGACATCCTCAAAAATCGCGAAGATGGCCCAAGATGGCCTCCAAGTCCGCCCGAGATGGTCCAAGACGGCCTCCAAAACGGCCCAAGAGAGTCCAAGACGGCCCAAGACGGCCCAAGAGGCCCCCCAGAGGCCTCCCAGACGGCCCAAGAGGCCTCCAAGAGGTCCTCCAGGAGAGTCCGAAGAGGCCAAAATCATTGATTTTCCCTGGTTTTTGAAGGATTTTGGCATTTGCGCCTTTTCGGCTCTCCGACGGCTCAAGACGGCCCAAGAAGCCCCCAAGATCGCCCAAGAGGCCCCCAAGAGAGCCCCATGATGGCCCAAGTGGCCTCCAAGATGGCCCCTAGAGGGCCCCAAGAGGGCCCAAGAGGCCTCCAACACGCCCAAGATGGCCTCCCAGACGCCCAAGATGGCCTCCAAGACGGCCCTGGAGCATTCCAAGCGGGCCCCAAGTCGGCCCATAGAGGCCCCCCAAACGGCTTCCGACGGCTTCAGACGTGCCAGGAACCCACCAAGATGGCCGAAGTTGGCTCGAAGCTGGCCCGAGACGGCCCAAAAAGCCCCAAAGATCGCCCAAAGCTTGCCCAAGAGGCCTCCAAGACGGCCAAGATGACCTTCAAGATGCCCACGTGTTCCCCGAAGGCTTTCCAAACCGATTCGGGGAACACGTGGTCCGATAGCTTGGCAGGTCTGGCCTCAACGTTCGGCCACATAGGCGCTTCCAAAAAGGCAGGGGGCGGCGGTGATTCGCCGTAGGCGTCTTCCATAAATGCTGAGTGAGAGGAGGGGAGGGAAAAAGAGAGGAGGGACGAGGGCGAAGAAGGATCACATCAGTCGGAGCGCCTCGGATCGGCGGCACTGGCCGAAGGCCACTACAATAAACTTTCGGGGGCCCGCGAGGATCTGACAATTTCTCATAATGGAAACGTTCCCCACCCAACAGGTTGGGGCTGTTGGATTCAAAGAACAGAAATCCCGATCCGCCTCGCACACCCTGCGAACGACGGCCTCCGGGCCCAAAGCGCGCCAAAGCTCCCCGGGTATCCCGCCGCGTGCCTTCGACGAAAGACGACTGCGCATCGCGGCCGCCAGGCCCAAAGTGCGCTGGTGCTCCCTGGATATATGCCTCGCGTTCTAGGGTGGGAGTCACCCGAATATAGGCGCACGCGTCTTCATACATATAAGCTTTCGGTGGTCCGCGCGGATTTCTTAGATCGGCGCTGGACCCCCGCGCCAGGGGCGGCGCAAGAGGCGCCGCCGAGGGGGGCCTGGCGCCGATGCGAGAAATCCGCGCGGAGCGCCGAGAGTTCATGAGTGGGGATCTCTCGAAGCGAAATTCGGCGGCGAGCGAGGGGGGGAAGTGAGACGGAGAAGGCCTCCTCAGAAAGCGGCGGGACTTCTGAGAAGCCCTCCGGCCTTCTGAACAATTTGTTCTGCCTTCGGGGAAGGCTTACAAAATTTCTCAGAAGGCCGAGGGACTTCCGAGCCTTCTGAGAAGGCCTTCTCCTTCTCACTTCCCCCCCTCGCTCGACGCCGAAAAATAATGTTAATGCAATTGTTCCTTCTTCGATCGAGGCCACAGCTCTTCGCAGCAGCCTCGGATCATGCGCCCGTGCAGCCAAGGGCCCTCTTGCAACGGGTGCCACGGCTCCTGCGCTCTCGCAACCCCAGCTCCTCACAGCACACGCCCCTGCCTCCGTTTATGGGCCGATTTTCCACCACCACTACCATGGGCAGGACGAGGGAGAAGGGAGGATGGGAAGATCCTCCTCCTCATCCTCGAATCTGGAACCTGGTGGCGTGAGTTGTCGTCGACTGCCGCCCTTCCTCCTCCTCATTCTCCTCCTGCCCCCTCTCCTACCTATGGTAGTGGTGGTGGAACATCGGCCCATTACCCGTTCCTTCCTCTGGCGCCCTCCCCCCCACCAGGATCCCAATGTCTCAGCTTTTTCGAGCCGGGCATTGTCGCTCAGTTTCGGGCCCTGGGACCCTCACAGATCGATCTGGCCTGAAAAATGGCCGGGCGCGAATGAATGGAGGGCCATCAATAAGGGGGGGGGAAGAAGGATGCCCTTTTCGGGCCCTAAAGGGCCCCTTCTAGGCCCTGAAGGACTCCTTTTCGGCAGCCCTCGCTGCCCCCGCACTTATCGCCACACCCGTACGCGCCCGCCAAAATGGTGCAGGAAGGTAAGGTCCGGGGCCCTGGTCGTGTTTTGTTACGATGTTTCATTTTTGTCTGGCTGGGTATGATCTCATGGTCTGGCCTCTTCCCCTTTTCAGTAGGACCGCCGCCAGATTAGCCAGCCATCCACCCTGCTAGCCAGCTGATCGGCCTGCTGGCCAGCAAACCTGTCCGCCAGCCAGCCAAGCAGCCCGCCGAGCTTTCAACATGCTAACCAATTGGCAAATCTACCAACCAATCCAACTAACTAACCCAGCCTAGCCACGCAAGCAGTCAAAACGGGTGACGAACGGCAAGTTAAGCCGCGCATGCTACGTATATATTGGAATGCACCCCTCCTCCTCCGAGCGGCACCTGGCTGAGAGAGATGGCAGACAGCACACGGGCCTATTCTGTAGTCAGTCAGTACGTTGTAGTTCTGGCGTGTGCTCAATGGAAAGATGTGTGACAATCTATGGCTGGCTCTGCAAGCACAACTCCCACTAGGATCTGAACCAATAATTCCGACCCCCGACTCGACCCACACTGATCTCATGAATTCCACTCTGTACGTGCGCATTGTCTTCCCAGATGGCAGCGCCACGAATCAGCATGTGCAACAACAGTCAAAATCACGTATATGCGCATGCTTCGCAAAACATGGCTGCATGCACGCGATGCGACTCCACACATTTCTACAACACCCGCTGATCTCTCTACGACCATCTCCTGCCAGTCACTCCGTCCCCTCAGCAGAAGTTGGCGCCTCCTTAAAGCTATTAACTCCGCCGAATTCCTTGGCTCACGCCGAGCATTCGCCGCTTGCTGGTGGGGGGAGATGAGGAGGCCCGATCTGCCACCATGCCTGCAACTGCTGGCGTGTGCTGGGCGCTTGCTTCGCTTCGCTTGTCTCGCTTAAAGCGCGAAGCGATAGGTCAGAGTCTTGCAGCGAATCGAAACCCAGATGCGCTTACTTGCTGGGCAAGGTCGAGCAACACACGGACCTGTCAGTTCGATCTGCAACGATCCGAGGGTTGGCGGGCTCGTGCGGCAACGGAGCTGGATCGCTTACTACTTGCAGGAATCATGAAACGAACGAACGAAGCCGTCGCCGGGAAGGGCAGGCGTCCCTGAAAAAGGAGGCGGGCGTGCCTGTAGCGCGCTGGCCCTCCAAATGAACGGGCTGCAACATACGCATGACGATTCAATGCACGTGCGGAGTTAGAAGAGACAGGGAAAGCAAGAGGGATGGAGACGGATCGAGAATGGAATAATGATTCAGCGATTCATCACCGCACCAGAACTGCACGAGGGAAGATGACAGAAGAAGAGAGCAACTGTATATACATAAGCTTTCGGAACTCCGCGCGGATTCCCTGGATCGGCGCTGGACCCCCTCGTTTGGCGCGCGGAGCGCGCCAAGGGCGGCGCCAGAGGCGCCGCCAGGGGGGCCCAAGCGCCAATCCAAGAAATCCGCGCGAAGCTCCGAAAGTTTTGTTTATGATGTTTTACCTCCCACGCTTGCGGGGGAGATGACCCTTCCTCCCTCCTCGCACCCCTTCTCTACCCTCTCTTGGAAGCGGCCAGGGGGGTGTACGCCGCTTGGGCCCCGAGAAGATCGGTCAAGAGGGGGGGGCGAGGGCAAGTCCGCTCAAAAGCGGTCCCCGGACCCCTCCTGGGGTCGAAGCTGGCTGACACTTTGTTCGAGCCCCAGCCGTGGCGATGGGGAGGCCCCTCTCTCTCCCCCCTTTGTCCGGGCCGGAACGAGTACTGGGCCACCTCAGCCCTCGAGCCAGCTCCAAGCCCATTCCCTCCTCCCGCCGGGAACCTCATCTCCCCTTCTCTCCCCCTCCTCCCTGCGCGCTAGCCGCTAGGCGGCACGCTCTCAAGGAGCCCGTCGGCGGCACGATGGCCTCGTCGGGCAGCCTGACTGCCTCCGCCTCGCGGGGCCGCTCTGCGGTCGGGCCGCAGCGGCACCGGCAACAGCTCAGGGAAGACCGGGCACGAGATGATCAGCAGAGAAAGAGAGACGGACGGAAAGAGAGAGAGAGAGAGAGAGGGAGAGGGAGGGAGAGGGAGACGCGAGAGGGAGAGGGAGGGAGAGGGAGACGCAATCATACTCCACGACGAGGCTGTAGCTTCAGGGCGCACGACCCCGGGAACGGCGCCAGAGCCGGGGATGCGGCGGGCGCTCCTTGGGCGCCCCCGCGCGCTCCCAGAGACCACCGCGTGGCTTCTCCCGCCGGGCAGAGCCCACCCGCTCCACCCGCCCGTCAGGGCTCGCACGCCCGACTCTCGCCCGTCGGGGCCCGCCCTCCGAGGCCCGCTCGCTCGTCTGCTCGCGAGGCCGCCCGCCCGCTCTTCGTGTCACGCCCGCCCGACACGCCCGGTGAGGTCCGCCCGCCCGACCCGCCCGTCAGGGCCCGCCCGCCCGAACCGCCCGTGGGGGCCCCTGGGACCCGGCGCAGCGGAAAAATGAAAACATCGTGACACATTACGGCCGCCACCTCCCTGCGCCATTTTTCCAGCCAGACCGATCTGTGAGGGACCTTTGCAGAAGCCTGGCGCGACAAAATGGAGACGCCACGGTCTCAGGGTCGGGGGTTGATACGCGTGCCCCCGGCCCAAGGTGGCCCCAGCTCTTCGCTCTATCCTGGAGCCCCTGGACCCCTTGGGCCTCGCGGGAGGCGCTCGATGGAGGCCGCGGGGGCTCCTTGGAAATCCTGGGGGCACCTTGTGGGCCAGGGGCAACTCTAGGCAGCACCCGACAGTAGAAGACCAAGTACATAGACGTCAACTTTCTGGGCTCGGCGCTGAGTTCGCCCGTGGCGGCGCTGGAGGCGCTGCCGGGAGGGTCCCAAAGCCGAAACCCGATGTGTTAAAACAGGCCAGTCTCAGCCAGGAATGCTCGAATAACGTTTCGTGCAGACAGCAACATCGGTGGTGAGACTGGGGGGGTGGGAAGTAAAAAGGGGCGGGCCTTCTCAGAAGGCTCGGAAGCCCACCAGCCTTTTTACAAGTTTTCTGGCCGTTCCCCGAAGACACAAAACACATCGGAGCGCTTCTGAGAAGCCTCGCTGCCTTTTGAGAAATCCTTCCCCTCCTCACTTCCCCCCCTCGCTGGCCGCCGACCTGTGCTCGCGTTAGGTCGGGTACGTCCTCCTGCAAGCGGATTCAAACCATATTCACGCATATTCGAAAAATCGTACCCGGACTGTTTCTTGGACCTGTGCTTGTATATTCCTCCTGTAGAGGAACATGCCCGACTGAAAGCTCTCGGGTGCCGGCCTGCTCTCGGGGGCTCACAAACATGGGTTAACGATCCATGGATCTGGCGCGCGGTCGCCGAATCCATGCATCGGGGGAAGTGCCGCCTCGCTCGGCGGCGCGCCCCCCTGGATCCATGCTTGCGATCGCCTGATGCTCAGAGGGCGGCGGTGCCTCGGACGGGGCTCGGGAGACGCCCGCCTCTCCCCCGGGCACGCCGTCGACCGTGGCGGGCCCGCCCGCGCGCGGCACCTGAGAGATGGGGCCCCAGGGGCACGGGGGGCTCAGATGAAGTCGGGCATGTCCTCCCAGAGGCGAGTTGGGAAAGAACAATGAAACACAGTCAAACTAAAGTCAAACATAGCAAGATGGTCAACCCACGAACCCAGAAAGGAAAATAGACATGCAAGGCATTGCAACGTTTTCACGACACCTGAGTGGGCGACGGGCAAATGCAATGCTGAATGTATCGATCTTGATGTACCGTGTTGAGGACTGCTGTGCTGCGCCGTGCTGAATTACAATGTGCCATGCTGCGACTATGCTCTATAGCGTTGTGGATCGAGATCCCCTTTGCATCCGAGTCCTGACTGAACTGACGTGGATCTTAAGCTCGAGCTGCCTGAGCACGTAGTAGCTGCCCCAGAGCTAATTGACAAGGGGACACGCCAGGACGACGCGCCGCGGAACGCGCCAAGGGACGCGCCAGGGGTCGTGCCAAGGGACGTGCCATGGGGACGCATGGCGGGACGTGCCAAGGGAACGCGCTACAGAACGTGCCAATGGACATGCCACGGGACGTGCCAAGGGACGCACCGCGCGACGTTTCAAGGGGACTCGCCACGGGACGCGCCACGGAGCGCGCCAGGGAACGTGCCAGGCGACGCGCCAGGGAACGTGCCAAGGAACGCGTCAGGGAACGTGCCGCGGGACGTCCTTGACCCAGGGCCAGCATTCTTCGTGAATTACGATGTGTCCGCGCCCCCAAGGCCACGATCCATCGTAATTTACGCTGCGTCCGCGCTCCCAAAGGCACGATCCTTTGTAAATCACGCTGCGTCCACTCTCCCTGGGCCAAGATCCCTCGTAAACTACGCTGCGTCTGTGAAAACAAGAATTTCACTTGAGAGATTCTCTGAATTCAGGTCCCAGGAGAGGACTATCGATACTACGAAACAAACGTTTCGCTCGAGACATCCTCAACAAATTCTGAACAACAAACGTTTCGCTCGAGACATCCTCAAAAACATGATCGACCCACGAACCCGGAAAGGAATATAGAAATGTAAGGCATGGCAACGTTTCAAAGACACCTGATTGGGCGACGGGCAAATGGAATGCTGAATGTATCGATCTTGATGTACTGTGCCGAGGGCTGTCCTGTGCTACGCCGTGCTGAACTGCGATGTGCCATGCCGCGATTGTGCTCTAGATAGCGTTGTGGATCGAGTCCTCCCTGCCATCCGAGTCCTGACCGAACTGATCTGGATCTTAAGCTCGAGCTGCCTGAGCAGATGGTAGCTGCCCCAAAACTAATCAACAGAGGGGACATGCCAGGAGGACGCGCCGCGGAACGTCCCAAGGGACGCGCCAGGCGACGTGCCAAGGGACGTGCCATGGGGACGCACCGCGGGACGTGCCAAGGGGACGCGCTACGGAACGTGCCAATGGACGTGCCGCGGGACGTGCCAAGGGACGCGCCGCGCTACGTGCCAAGTTGCAATGTTGAGTGTATCGATCTTGATGTACCGTGCCGACGGCTGTGCTGTGGTGGGCCGTGCTGCACTGCGATGTGCCATGTCGCGATTGTGCTCTAGATAGCGTTGTGGATCGAGTCCTCCCTGCCATCCGAGTCCTGACCGAACTGATCTGGATCTTAAGCTCGAGCTGCCTGAACACATAGTAGCTGCCCCAAAACTAATCGACAAGGGGACATGCCAGGAGGACGCGCCGCGGAACGTCCCAAGGGACGCGCCAGGCGACGTGCCAGGGGACGTGCCATGGGGACGCACCGCGGGACGTGCCAAGGGGACGCGCTACGGAACGTGCCAATGGACGTGCACCGCGCGACGTGCCAGGGGAACTCGCCACGGGACGCTCCGCGGAACGTGCCAGGCAACATGCCAGGCTGAAATGCTAAAAGTATCGATATTGATGAACCGTGCCGAGGGCTTTGCTGTGCCTGGACGACCTGGACACGTGAAAACACGCGTTTCGCTCAAGACGTTCTCAGCACATCCTCATGCTAGACATCCGCCTGGCCGGACACGTGCAAACAAGCGTCTCGATCGAGACTTCCTCGACACCGCCTCATGCTAGACATCCGCCTGGGCGACCTGGACACGTGAAAACAAGCCTCTGGTTCGAGACATCCTCAACAGATCCTCATGCTAGACATCTGTCTGGGCAACCTGGAGGCGTGAAACCAAGCGTCTCGCTCGAGACATCCTCAAGACCTGGGCACGTGAAAACGAGCATTTCACTTGAGAGATCGGCCCTACAGTCGTCGATTCCGGGGGTAAACCTCTAAAAGAGAACCCTGGGCCCCTGCCCTTTCCGGGGAAAAACCAAGTTTGGGGTAAATCAATTCTGTAGTCGATCCCCTTCTCGAAGCATTGTTGTTGCAATCCGCTGCCCCAAGGGGCCCGACCCTGTCCCTGGGGGTGCTTTCGCGTCGCAGGTGCGTTTCTGATGGCCCAGGGGTCTGACAGTGGACCCCCGGAGGCCGAAATCGTGGAAAGACGCCAGGATTGACAAAACCAGATCGTCGGAGATCTGGGGATCCTATAGCCCACCCGACTCCGCGGCGAGCGAGGGGGGGCACACGAGCAGGCGACGGCCTTCTCGGAAGGCGGCGGGACTTCTCAGAAGCCCCGGCCTCCTGACACCTTCTCGGCGTCTTCGGGCAAGGCTTACACAACTTCTCGGAAGGCCGGGGGACTTCCAAAGCCTTCTGAGAAGGCCCGCTCCTTCTCGCTTCCCCCCCCCCCCCCCCCGGCGCGCCGCCGACCGACGTTGTCCCCGAGACCACGCCCCCTCCCGGCGCGCCGCCAGCACATCTCCTTACCGCGCCATCGCTCGGGCGTCCATTCCCCGTGCATGTTTCGGTTTCGTGCGTGTGATTTTTCGCAAGGTGCACACGAATGCTCCTCGGTGATCCTTGCCGAGAAACATGCACACGTCCGAGCGATGCCGGGTTACTGTTAGGTCGGGCCTTTCCTCCTGCAGGCGGCTTTTGGACGACATATAAGCCATAGCCAAATAATGCTCAAAGGTAGCCAAAAACATTAGAAAAATTATCTCCAGCCCATTTTTTGACTATCTTTGAATCTCCCCCCTGTAGAGTTTTTTTGTTGACTACTTTGTTACAATTTGAAATCTTCCCCCTGTAGAGGGCCATGCCCGACTTACGGAGGCGTGGGTGGGCCCGAGGGCGCCCAGGCAGCCCCGGGGGCTCCCCGAAATCGGTGCGTGTACGCCCTCCCATGCCTGCATGGTCACGGCGGCCTCGTCGTTCTCGTCGTCGTCGTCGTCGTCGTCGTCGTCGTCGTCGTCGTTGTCGCCCTCGTCGCCATCGTCGTAGTCGGCGGCGGCGGCGTCGTCGTCGGCGTCGTCGGCGTCGCCGCCCTCGCCGTCGCCGTCGCCGTCGCCGTCGTCGTCGTCGTCGTCGTCGTCGTCGCCCTCGTCGTCAGGTCGTCGTCGCGCACCAGTTCTGGGCTCAGGGCTGGGTCGGCCGCGCTCGGTGAGGTGGTCGACTGGCGTCCCCCGATCCTCCCGCCCAGTGGGGAGATACGGTGACTTTTCGACGGAGCACCCGGACAGAAGCATCGTCAGGCCTGTACGGTCGGCCCGTATCATAAGGACGCAAGGGCCCTGGAAGCCCATTTCGAAGCTTTTCGAGCGGGGCGCGGCCGACGCAAGTGGCCAAGCATGGACCGAGGAGGCAGGGATGCAAGGGTACCCTTGGGAAGGTTGCCCGTCCTTGCTATGCGGGTTGGCTGTAGATGTGCCTGCGCAGGCCCTTTGGCAGTCGAGCCAGAAACTGCACGGAGGCAAGCATGGCCGCTCAGCTGCCGCGAGTGCGTTGAGGTCTCTGTCGAAACAGGCAGCGCACAGTCGTTCTGCCCTACCCCCCCCTCCCGCTGCGCCTGCACCTTGCGGTTCTTCGTCCTCCGCATCATGGCCACGAACTCCTTCGGATTGTCGCGAGGGGGGTGGGGGCGGGCCCCGAGGGAAGAGGGGCCTGGACTCCGGCTGCGCCGAGGCCATGGGCAAGAGATCTCAGGGACAACGTCACGGGTGGACCCGCTCATGGGGGGGGAAGCAGCGACCCGGAATCGACGATATATCGCCGATGGATCGGCGATGGGCCCCGATAGCAGGTCCGCACTGCCCTGGGTGGGGTGGGCTACGAAGCTCCCATCGACAACGGATGGGCGACGGTGGGGTCGATGCTTGGCGGCGAGCGAGGGGGGGACGTGAGAAGGGGCGGGCCTTCTCAGAAGGGTCGGACATCCCCTGGCCTTCTGAGCAGTTTTCTGAGCTTTGCCCGAAGACACATGAAACTTCTCAGAAGTCCCACCGCCTTCTGAGAAGGCCTTCTCCTTCTCACTTCCCCTCCTCGCTCGCCGCCGACTTGTTCCAGCGTCGTGGCTGTAGTTCACACGGCGGGTGTCGATTGCGCACTCTCTAGAGCAACATCCGCTGTGCGCAGCTCCACATGCAACATACATTTCGGAATTCCGCGGAGTTCTTCGATCGGCGCTAGACCCCCCTCGACGCCCGTTACCCACCTTCTCTCGACGAACAGACAGTGGCACAAAAATAGACTTTCGCAGGTCCGCGCGGATTTCTTGCATCGGCGCTGGACCCCACGTCCCTCCGCGTGCCGAGGATGGGGGGTCAAGGCAAGAAACCCGCGCGAACCTCCAAGAATTCTATTCCTCTTGTTTGCTCATTCGACTACGAACGCCTAGTCAGGAAGCAGGATAACCAAAAGGGCACAAGGCCTTCGACGGCCTCGGGAAGCCACAGACACAACCAGAAACACACGGTAAGACTACATATCCTCCTCCTGCAAGGCCAGCCAGTAACGATATGGCACATCGGGTCGGATCGGAATGCGCGTCGGATCGGGCCGCACCGGCAAGGAGTCGGGATCGGGTTGGCCGCGCCACGATGCACAACCGCGCCCTGCAAACATCGGGTCGCATCGGATCATCCGAATACCAATGTCGAATCGGATCGTGCCGGCCACAATCGACATCGAATCAGATCCAACGGGTCGAAATGGATCCTCCCGCCGTGTTTTTGTTCACAGCCCGCGGGGATCAGGAATGTTCCCAGCAAAACACCCTGACAACGGCATGTTGGGCCACGGAAGGACGAAGAGATGAGCCCTCGTCCTCTTCGATCCTCCTCCTCCTCGGTGATGCTCGATCCCCGATTCTCGATCCTCTCCTCCTCCTCCTCCTCCTCGATCCTCGATTCTTCTTCCTCGACCCGCGACACTCGATGCTCGGGGGCGGCCGTGGTCGCAAATCATAGCCGGCGGCACTTGTGCAGCCCAGGGGCGGGGCTGGGGACGCATTGGAATAAGAAGAGGCGGCGTGAAATCTGGGGAGATGTCGTGGCCCTCGCCATGATATCCCCCCCCCGTCAGAGCCCCCCTCTTGGCCGCCCCCGAGATGCTCCTCGCCGGTCTTTCCCGAAGGTCCCGAACGAGGCGGCCAAGAAAGGCCCGCCCACGCACGCCCTCCCCCCCCTCCTCGAAGTCCAGGTGGCCGTTGCCGTCCTTGTCGAACTGCCGGAACAGCTCCTGTGTGGGCGGCTCCCGCCGCGGGCCTCCGGGACCCTCGACCTCCCTCCCCCACTCCTCGTAAACTCGGCGACGACGCACCCTCCTCCCAACTCCCTCCTCCGCGTCCTCCTCGTCCTCCTGCTCCAGATTGCTCCTCCTCTCCTCCGTCCTCCTCGTCTTGCTTCGGGCATGTCCTCCTACAGGCGACCTTCGAGAGGAATCTTAGAAATAGTCAAAACATATTCTTACGTTGCTTATAAGAGCGCTTACAAATAACTTGGAGTATATTCCAAGAGTGCTTCGGGAAAAACCGCGATCCCTGTAGGAGGACTGCCTTCTTTTAGCGATTTCCCCCATGCGTGTTTCGGCGCGCGTAAAAAAAAATACACGGCGCCCTGCGCGCAAGACAAAGGGAACGCCTTTTCAACGCCGCGTAAACTATGGCCGCATTTATTTCGCTACAAGAGAGACTCGATACACATTCGAAGGCTTCGCGTTCGCGCGAGAGCGAACCGACCGCGCTGCACACTCAGCCGTCTCCACGCGGTTCGTTGCCACAGGGCTCACCTCGAAGACAAGCGACAAACGCAGCATGTGCCCCGAGGGCGCGCGAGGGGAACCACCATAAAATAAGCCAATCCAAGCGCGCCGACGATCCAAGGGCAAACGCAAATCACAACACGTGCAAATGGTAAACGAGAAGCGCCGCAAAATGAAAATAAGGGTCATCGGGGGCTGGCGGAAGGCCGCACGCTCGTCCTTTTATGCGTCGGTCGATCGATCAATCTTCCGATCGACCGATCGACCAGTCCTCCTCCCCCACGCCCTCCTCCCCCCCGGCCCCACTTGCAAATGCTTGTCAATGCACATGATCGGCCCACGAACCCGGAAAGGAATATAGAAATGTAACGCATGGCAGCGTTTTCAACGACACCTGATTGGGTGACGGACAAATCCAATGCTAAATGTATCGATCTAGATGGACCCTGCCGAGGGCTGTGCTGTGCTGCACCGTGCTGAATTGCGATGTGCCATGCCGCGATTGTGCTCTATAGCGTCGTGGATCGAGTCCTCCTTTGCATCCGAGTCCTGACCGAACTGATCTGGATCTGAAGCTCGAGCTGCCTGAACACATAGTAGTTGCCCCAGAGCTAATTGACAGGGGGACATGCCAGGAGGACGCGCCGCGAAACGTCCCAAGGGACGCGCCGGGCGACTTGCCATGGGACGTGCCATGGGGACGTACCACGGGACGTGCCAAGGGGACGCGCTACGGAACGTGCCAGTGGATGTGCCACGGGATGTGCCAGGGGACGCGCCACGTGACGTGCCAGGGGGACTCGCCAAGGGACGCCCCACGGAACGTGCCAAGGAACGTGCCAAGTTGCAATACTAATATATCGACCTTGATGTACCCAACCGAGGGCTGTGCTGTGCTGCACCGTGCTGAATTGCGATGTGCCATGCCGCGATTGTGCTCTATAGCATTGTGGATCGAGTCCTCCTTTGCATCCGAGTCCTGACCGAACTGATCTGGATCTGAAGCTCGAGCTGCCTGAACACATTGTAGCTGCCCCAGGGCTAATTGACAAGGGGACATGCCAGGAGGACGCGCCGCGAAACGTCCCAAAGGACGTGCCAAGCGGCGTGCCAGGGGACGTGCCATGGGGACGCACCGCGGGACGTGCCTTCAAGGGGACGCGCTACAGAACGTGCCAATGCCACGCGACGTGCCAGGGGGACTCGCCACAGGACGCGCCACGGAACGTGCCAAGTCGCAATGCTGAGTGTATCGGTCTTGATGTACCGCGCCGAAGGCTGTGCTGTGCTGCACCGTGCTGAATTGCGATGTGCCATGCCGCGATTGTGCTATATAGCGTCGTGGATCGAGTCCTCCTTTGCATCCGAGTCCTGACCGAACTGACCTGGACCTTAAGCTCGAGTTGCCTGAGCACATAGTAGCTGCCCCAGAGCTAATTGACAGGGGGACATGCCAGGAGGACGCGCCGCGGAACGTCCCAAAGGATGCGCTCGGCGACGTGCCAGGGGACGTGCCATGGGGACGCACCGCGGGACGTGCCAAGGAGACGCGCTACGGAACGTGCCACTGGACGTGCCACAAGACGTGCCAAGGGACGCGCCGCGCGACGTGCCAGGGGGACTCGCCACATGACGGGCCACGGAACGTGCCAAATTGCAATGCTGAGTGTATCGATCTTGATGTACTGCGCCGAGGGCTGTGCTGTGCTGCGCCGTGCTGAATTGCGATGTGCCACGCCGCGATTGTGCTCTATAGCGTCGTGGATCGAGTCCTCCTCTGCGTCCAAGTCATGATCGAACTGATCTGGACCTAAGCTCGAGCTGCCTGAACACATAGTAGCTGCCCCAAAGCTAGTTGACACGGAGACATGCCACTAGGACGCGCCGCGGAACGTCCCAAGGGACGGACGTGCCCTAGGGGACGCGCTACGGAACGTGCGAATGGACGGGCCACAGGACGTGCCAAGGGGCGCCGCGCGACGTGCCAGGGGGACTCGCCACAGGACGCGCCACGGAACGTTCCAAGTTGCAGTGCTGAGTGCCTGGGCGACCTGTACACGTGAAAGCACGCGTTTCGCTCAAGACGTTTTCGGCGCATCCTCATGCTATACATCCGCCTGGGAAACCTGGACACGTGCAAGCAAACGTCTCGATCGAGATTTCCTCGGCGCATCCTCATGCTAGACATCCGCCTGGGCGACGAGGGCGCGTGAAAACAAGCCTCTGGCTCGAGACATCTTCAACAAATCTGGCGCTAGACCTCTGCCTGGGCAACCTGGAAGCGTGAAACCAAACGTCTCGCTCGAAACATCTTCAACATCCAGGTGCCCGGTCCTCTGAATTCAGGTCCCAGGAGAGGACACAATCTATGACACAAAGCAAGCGCTCGCTCGATACATCCTCGACAACATCTGAAAACAAAACAATCGTTTCGCTCGAGACATCCTCAAAAATAATTCCGCCGGCACTACAGCCGTCGATTCCATGGGTCCACCTCTAAAAGAGAACCCTGGGCCCACTCCCCTTCCGAGAAAAAGGAGGGCGCGTGCGCGGGAAAACTGGGTCCAAAAATTTGTGCACAAGTCCTGAGCTCTTTCCGTCTGGAAGCTGCGTGACGCGCGTCGGACGCATCACATGTTTGATGCGCGCGCGCGTTGAAAGCCAGTCCCCCAGCGGGATCGGGCACGCAGAATGAGGCCGCGACGGTTCTGTGGCGCGGAAAGACATGCGCTCGGCAACATTGCGGCGCGCTGTTCAACCCACGAGGGTACTGCATCAGCAGCGTGCGTCGCGCGCTTAGCAACCCTGACGCAGGGCGTCTGAACCGCTAGCGAACCCACTGCATCATATGCCGCAGCGGCGCGATTTCGGGCGAAAAGGAGGGGGGCATTACTGCAAGATTTTCGCGTTCTCGAATAATGGCCACGGGGCCCGCCTCAAAGTAGTGCTTCCGGAAAACGCGCGGGGGCATCTCCTGGATGACTTGGAACTGTCAGATATGTGAGGTGTTTGATGTCCCGTAAATGGTCGGTGAGTTTCCTGCGGTGTTTTGAAATCTCATAGATAGCCGCGGGGGGCCGCGTGGAGTATTTTGAAATTTCGCGAACGGCAGGGGAATATTTCAGCATAGATCGTACACTCCATGGGCTTATCCTTTCAACAAGTCGCAAAGTGTCCTGGCAGATCCTTAGAGTATTTTAAACATTCGCAGATGGCATTGGGGCATCTTCGGGGTATTCTAAAATTTCGCAAATGGCGCCCGAATGCTCTTGGGATGAGTCAGGCTAAATGTGAAATATGTTTCGATGTTTTTTGAACGCGTGAAATCTGAAGGGGTATTTCCAGAATTCTTAAATTGGAGATCTACGGGGGGAATTTCGTGAATACTTGGAATTTGTAGAATATTTGCGGGTGTGCGTTGCGCGCGCGTTGTGCTTCAAATCCTCCAGTGGGGTATTTTGCGCCGCCGGCGAGCGCGCGACATCTTGCGCTGGAGTGTTGTTTAAACTCGCGGGGTATGTCGGGCGCTCGCTCCGGGTGTCCGAGACGCTGCTGCTGTGCCCACGACGATGCCTGTCTGTGCTCTGAATGCCCCGACGGCGCCGGCGGCGCGCCGTAGGCTCCCGGTCCTGCTTTACTACGTGCGCGCTGGGCCCGCCGATCTGCGCGCGTGAGTGGTATATGTACAAACGCGCGCGAGCGTGTGCAAGTGGGCATATTGCATTGCCCTGGTTGAATGCGCTCGACTGGATACAGATATATTTTACGCGGTTGTGAGTTATTAAACACATGTGCACTCGTCGCCGGAATCGTAGTCTGCCCCGTCACGCTCCTAACTGTACCCTTTTCTACTCGACCCCGCTACAACGGCACATGCAAACTCTTCTCTCTGATATAAGAACTGGCAATTGTCTACGTGACACCTCTGCGCCAACTCCCTTCTGGCCAAACCGGAACCGGCTCTGGCCTTATCACGCACTCAATTTCAATCCACCTGATTCACGGACAACCTCCAGTCCACTCCTACCGTGCTCCATGCTCCACTCATATCTACTCGATCAAAAGGGTTATGCTTTCTCCGGTCAGGATTGTCGCTCGCGCAATATACCCCGCTCGATTGCCGAAAAAGATCCAGTGGCCGAGCGGGGGAAGCGCTGGCCTATGCGCGCCACCCTTATTGACAGGGAGTAGGGTATGGAGCATGCGCAAGGATGGCGCGCAGCAGCGAAGGGGTAAAGAGGGAGGAAGACTGGAGTTTCGCAGCGAGAACTTGAATGCCAGCGGCCACAAAAAAACTGCTCATGCGTTTTTTTGAATGTGCGTAACAAAATGCAGGGATCCTGATCTGCAGGGAGATTGCCGGCTGCCCAGAGGGTACTCGTCGAATTGCTAACGCTGCTTTCAAATCTCATCGCAGCGCCATCCATTCCACGATGGTAGCGCGCGGTCGACCCTCATTGTGCACGTTGCATGAACCA